CTACTACTACTACTACTACTACTACTACTACTACTACTACTACTACTACTACTACTACTACTACTACTACTACTACTACTACTACTACTACTACTACTACTACTACTACTACTACTACTACTACTACTACTACTACTACTACTACTACTACTACTGACTACTACTACTACTACTACTACTACTACTACTACTACTACTACTACTACTACTACTACTACTACTACTACTACTACTACTACTACTACTACTACTACTACTACTACTACTACTACTACTACTACTACTACTACTACTACTACTACTACTACTACTACTACTACTACTACTACTACTACTACTACTACTACTACTACCGCCCTCCTCCTCCTCTCCTCTCCTCCCTCCTCCTCTCCTCCTCCTCCTCCTCCTACCTCCTCCTCCTCCTCCTCCTCCTCCTCCTCCACACTTGCACAATATGAATACTGCTCTCCTCTCTCCCCTGATGACGTCCGGAAGATATCCGGCCCCCCCTCCACGTACTGTTTGTTTACACTGCAGCGCTGGCGTCATCATTTCCAGTACCATGCCACGGAATGGTTTTCGGTACTTCCAAACAGGCCCCAACTCTAGAAAATGCCCCCGACAAAAACCGTCGAAGTGTTTCTTCATTCGGAATCGATTCGTTGGTTCGTTGGGCCGCAGAAGCCCCCCCACACACTTCGGGGCGTCGCCACGCCATGCTATGTCATGCTACACGTTGATCTTCAACACCACGCTATGCCATGTAATGCTCCGCCATGCTACGATATCCGATTGTGCGGATAGAGAGGAGATCTACGCCATGGTAAGGGATGGGAGGGAGGGGTAGGACGTCAGGTATGACGCGAGCGCACCGAGCTTGTCCTGCTCATCATCCTCCTCCCTCCTCCTACTGCATGTCGCGCTGGAATGTGGCCGCGGCCACTGAGGCCGCAGGAGCTCGCGCGCAGCTGGTCCATTCAGGACAATAATTACGTCTATGTGGGATTTCGTCATATCTTTGGCTTCGTCGTGCTGCATCGGCGTGTCACCCTACATTCCTCGCTGGCGCTGTCCCACACGCGTGCACCTGACTTGGGATGCATTGCGCTGTGCGGAGTGGCTCTCCAATGGCAACTTCTTCGGGGACGGTTGCCACGCGCAGGTCTGATGATTCGTTGACTCGAGGTGGCAAAAATTGTCCGCCGTGCCATCCGTGCCTCTAGCCGGTCTTTCCCTCCCACGCGTGGTCCCGAGCACTCGCACCGTGGTCGGTTGCGTTGTGCCGTGTGGTTCCGCGTGGTCTGGTTCCGAGCCGCTCCTTGGGTGGCATCGTCCGCCGCTCGACTTTACAGAGAGCGGTGCGGCAGAGTTCTCGCACTGGCCGGCAGCAACCTCCAGATACCATGCGCCTCGGTCGAAGCCCAGCTTTGAAGCACGACAGCCCACCTTCGGAAGCATGCGGTCGGGTTTTCTTCCTCCCCATCCCCTCCTTCGCTCCTTCTTCTGCCTCCGCCTCTCCCCTCCTTCTCCTCCTCCACCTCCTCCTCCTCCTCCTCCTCCTCCTCCTCCTCCTATGGCCAGTGCTTTTTTACTTCTGGCAGTGGCCAGGGTAAAAGCAGCCGAGCGCGACAGCCTCTTTGTAATCCGCGCTCCTTCCCCTCCTTCCCCTCCTCTCTCTGTGCCTCCCTCCTCCCTTCTACCCTCTCGGCGCTGGGTGCTTGGAACGTCGATGGCCGTTCGAGCCTCGGGGGGTCCCTGCACTGGCCATCGCTCGGACGTCCATTCCCTGTGTTCTTTTCGGTTTCGTGCGTGGTTTTTTCGCCAAATGATCAAGGATGCTCCTCGATGGCCCTCGCCGAAGGAAAAATGCACACGTCCGAGCGATGCCAGGCTACCTGCATGCTGAGCAACTGCGCCGTCGATCCGTGGTCCAAGGTTCATTGCATGAACTTGCCTATTGCAGGTCGGCTTGTGCGGTGTTCCCGGTTCGCGTGGGGAGCCTGTGATTCGCGATGCGGTTGTGGAGTAGCTGCGCCTAGGCCTCATGCCAGGAGACATCGTTACGGCGGAAATAGGCCCTCAAAAACTGAGGGAATCCTTAAGATCGGCATCGAGGTGAGGTGATGTCAAACATAGGGATAGGGATATGTTTCAAACTGGTAATGTTCCCGGTTCGCGTGGTGAGCCTTTGATTCGCGATGCGGTTGTGGAGCAGCTGCCCCGTGCCCCCTCCTGTATTGCCTCCCGCGTTGAATCGCAGTGCCGCTTGACCTGTTCATCGGGAGCTCACGATCACTGTTAGGAGAGCCCAGAATCGAATCGATGAGTCGGATCGGCGATCGGAATGAATCGGATCGGAGGAAATCGGCAGCCAAATCGGGAGAAGTCGAATCGGCGGAAATCGACAGGCTAGTATGCCTCCAATAAGAAATTGGAACCCAAATCGGAATCCCAAGTCGAATCGAATCGGAATCGGAAGCCATCAGAGTCGAATCGAATC